ACTTGTCTACAGCCTCGTGCAATAGACAGCAGACAACGCTTCAGCCGCCGAAGATAGGACGCTGAACACTTGGAGAATCTCTTGGAGAAGCCGACTCTAAGCCAGCCTGCCGCCGGCAATACTAACCCACGAGCGTCTGACGAGGTGCATGAAATAGAGAAGAAGCGTTCTAGATATAGAGAAAGGGTTCTGACTTGGATGATAAGCTACACGAAGAAGCGAGCCAAAGAAGATATATGGGCTAAGGAGGCCGAGACGTAGCATAAGAAGTGTAAAGTTAGATTAGCGTTAGTAGCCCTTTCGGCTCGGCCGCCGGGCGTAAATAAATTGTGTGTGTGTCGGTGCAAATTTGCCCGCTCGCCCAATCAGTGACTTGATAATAGTACTTGGAACTGTTGTTTTTCAGATCAAGCGCCCACGTTCGCTACAGTACATGTATCAACAACGTACCAATTTTCTCATCAAACAATATATGGTCCGATGGTGCAGTGGCAGCACTCCAGCTTTGGCTGGCGACGCGTGTTCGATTCTCGCTCTGACCATTCCGGAACCTTGATACTTGAGCGCAGTGAGGGTCGAAAAAGTATCAAGGGACGGATTTTTGTTGTAATTCTTCTCTTTTTGACGTTGTCTTCATATAAGCAAGCGCGGTGGGTTTCCCGTATTCATCTGACAGGTGTGTTCGTTGTTGTTTCCCACGCTGCTCTGCGAACGACGTGGATAAAGAAACTGCTTCTAGAAGAGGCATCTGAAAGTGTCCTCTGCATACTACAATCTTTTTGTCTCTGAACCGGGCAGTGGAAGATTTTGGCCATTGTGGTCCCAAGATCTGGACTGATTTTCATGCTTGCACGTGTACCCCTCACAGCATAATGCTGTAAAGAAGAAGTGCCAAAAAAAATCAACAGTATCTCGATCCACTGTGGACTCGTGGATACACTGTTTCCCAACAGTCTCATCCGGCTGTACTTCACGTCGCGGACGCAATCAACGTCAATTCACTGTTGCTTGCTTTCGCTCAGTGCTGTCGTGCTTGCAACAACTCGATCATCTTGACAATCTTGCGGCCCTGAGGGCCAGGGTCTACTCTATCTCGCCGTCACCGTGGATTCGCCCATCTGCACTCGCCTGGCGGGGTCCCAGCATGCCGGTCCGGGCGGCGTAGCGCGTCTTGGCTCCACACATAAATAAGGCTCCTCCCTCCCCCTCTCGCCTTCTTTCTTTCTTCCTCTACACTCTCCAACAAAGTCGTTGCCCCGCCGGGGCTCGAGTATCATGGTTCCGGAATGGCTTCGGCCTCCGTACGGAATATCAGAGGTGGCAGGCACACCGCTCTGCTGTGAGTTCACTCGATCACCGCGTCTGACAGCAATACTGACTTCGATAGGGCTCATCCCCAAAGCAGGTGTGCCTGTCAGAGGTGGCAGGCCCACCACCCCGAGGTAAGTCTCACTCTTCTCAACGCCATCTCCAGATCCATCACTGACTCCGACAGGGCTGCCCCCTCCGGTTGATGGGCCTGCCCACACTCTGCACCTGCCTATCAACGGTGGCAGGCCCACCACCCCGAGGTAAGTGTCATCTGCTGATTTCATCAAAAAGCAAACTTTACTGACTTCTACAGGGCTGATCCCTCGGAGCTGACATTGCGGTGATGAAGCGCGAAGGAATGGAGGTTCGGAAATCTGTGCCGCGGACGTCTACCCTCGCACTTCACCACCGCAATCGTCAGCACTGCGGTGGTGACCGAGTTTGAATAGATACATCCTCTCACCACTGCAGCGGCTTGCGCACATGCGCATGTGTCCCAGCTGTGCATTAGAGCCTTGAAGGATTTGGTGCGGGTCGTACTGGTTGTTTTGGTCGAAAGCGTGGAGTCTCTTGTGCGCAGAGTCAATGAAAATCTAATCTTCAAACAAATTACATCTACTCCAATACCCTTAACTTCTGAGCGTGCCTACTGTAATGCTAGTGATTGACCCGGTGAGTTGTGCCATGACTGCTGCTTTTGTTCTGCCACAAGGCTCATTCTGTCACAGGTCCCCAAACTGGGTAGAGCACCCCCCAGCCGTTGCGAGGCTCGATTTCAATGTCCCTGTTGTCGAGATATCGGCCACGTCTAGGGCAGTTCATTTCAAAATGGGGTTCCCCTCGAGGACTGTCTGGATCCGGTTCGGGAAGCTCAGTAGCGCAGTGAATCCTTAAACTTGCGGTGTTCAAGCTATGTTTATGCACAGAGTGCCGCGCACAGTACTCCGTAACTTCCGCACTGCGTAAGCCCAGCCTGGTGGATGACCAAAAGATTGACACAATAAACCGCCAAGTGACGATATGGAGTTTGCGGAACGGCATTCTCTCACTGATTGCCACGAGTCGCAGTAATTGCTTCCCCGAAGCCTTTCCGTGATGCGGAACAGACAGTGCAGGATAGCCATCGACTGTCCGCATGGATGAAATGGGAAAAACGCAATTGGTGTCTTTCCCCTTCTTCCATCTGAGTGATTTCTGCGCGTATAGACTTCCATCACTCGTGAATCTTGTGGATCCTGCTTAACTCGAAATCTTGAGCCTGAACAAGTTGAAGGCTGGTAAGGTGATGCCCAAACGCGCGCTGTCCTGGTAAGTGAATCCACATAACCAAGCATAAAAGGCTTACGGTCGATGTGCTCCATCTTCCACACTGTCAATTGATAGCTGCCAACTCTGTGGTGGAAGCGACGTAAAAGAGCATTGCTGAGCAGTGCTCTGCAGAGCAGCCTCTTCACCCAACCTCGTGCATGGTCCAGACAGTGCGTTGACAAGCACAAAACTCAGCGCACAGCGTACTCGAACATCTGTTGCTCCTACGCAGTAGAGTCTATTCCAGATATCGTTGCGTTGTTGCCTCTACCCATCGTCGCGATTTGGGGCGTGTGATTTAAACTCATCTCCACACCCCTCCTCAACTTTTCCGCAATATCTCTCTCACCACAACACCCCCACCCCCACCACGAATCGCAAAACAACCACAACGGCAGTATTGGATAACATGGCAATAAAGAGAAGCGGGAAGGCGGTCAGTTGCTTGAAAGCGCTCGATCAGAATAATCATACGCTGGAAGATTGGGACGACTTGGTAAGAAGGAATCAACGCGAATACCTTCCTACCTGCGCTGCACCGCTGCACCGCTGCACCGCTGCACCGCTGTAACCCCGCGATCGACCGCTGAGACCGAGGAGGATATAAAATAGGGGGTACATAACGAGGTCAGCAGCTTTACAGCACTAGATCAGAGGTTTTGGAGTCGGAGAAATTTGGACAAATGGACTCGAACACGAACCCACTCTTCCCCCCCCCGCACGCCCCTCTCGTGCACCGATTGCACAGACACAAACGATCAAGGCGAACGGATAGAAAATAACATACTGGGAAGGATAACACACATAACGAGGTCAGCAGCTTCCATGCGCTGGATCAGAGGCATTGGCGTGAAGTAGACCAAGGAATTGGGCGAATCGGTTCAGAACCCTCCACCCTCCCCCTCCCTCCTCTTTGCATTGTGACGCTGCAGCTCCCCGTCGGCCGAACGACTTATACAAGTAGGAAATATAACACTGGCAATACTCAAGGGCATAACGAGGTCAGCTGCTCCAAGCCGCTGGATCAGAAGGTTGGCGGGACTGTTGTTGGGATAGCTTTGGAACTTGCCCCTCTGCCTGTATCGCAGCTTCGAGCCGAATGGTAGGGAGGGCAGGGGATATACTCGTGAGCGGAAGCTCCTCTTCTGCCGCAAGGTCTGAGAGGGGCTGGCCGTGGGGATGCATTTGTGCAGAAGACTCTGGGCGCCGGCAGTCCTCCTCGATCGGATACACACCTTGCGAGCCACCAGCTCCACAGACAATCTGATTACCCCACTGTGAAGCTGGGTGTTAACCCACTGATCCAGAACCAGAACCTATGCTGTATACGAGCATTTCTGCACGAGCACCTGCTTTCCAGCGCACATTTCAGTGACAGCTGGCTTCGATAAGTGACTATCAGCCCCATCAGCCGATTCTTACACTTGGATGCCCGGATGTTGCTTAGAGGGGACTCATCCTTCTTGAAGCTGCAAGCTCGAGGTCGCACGTAGCCACGATGACTCCCAGCACGGACAACAAGCTTGTTCACAGTGGAGCGCGTGCCACTCGAGCAATGACATCAGACCAACTCACACCACCACACTCTTGTCTTCTTATAGCAGTGCCCACCTCCATGAACAGCAACAATTTATACTTGCTGCTGCAGAACAAGGGTGGAGTTCCAGCGTTGCCACAAGAGGAGCAACCTATCTACATGCCTTATTGAGACCAACTCCTCATCTTCGATTGCGGCCTGCGTACTCGCCGCAACCGTACTCGAGCAGAAGGCAAGGAAAAAGGGCAAATTTCGCAACATGAAAAGACAATTCTGAGTCTCGACACGTTACAGGCCTTAGAGACGCTTTTGACAGCCTGAGGGAAATCTTACAAGCACGAGGTCCACGAGATTGGCAGCATGGAGTTGTGGCAACATGGAGTTGTCGCACCAGCAATCCATTGCGTCTCTCGGTATCACGTAGCTGGGAGACCCGCTGACAAGCAAACAAAGCCAAGCTGTAGCGACTCGACTTCGACAACTCGAGTGTCTACGCAGCCGAATTCTTGAACGAGTACGTACGGGCTGAGGCCAGTTGGATGCTATGACACGAACGAGTTCCACCCAACCAGCTCGAGGGCGAATCGAGAGGAATGATCCTCTGGGAGGTAGTCAGTAGCAGCTGGCTCATGGTCAAGAACCAAACCAGTCGCACATTGTAGCCTTTCGGAATTGCTATCAGCCAATGGGGTCAACCCCGTAGTCGAGCACCGCGAAGCCACGTATTGCAACGATTCACCCCACCACAGTTCCGTGTTCCGCCCCATCAAGACGTTCGATCAAAGCCCTCAGCAACGACGAAAAACAATGTAGCTAGATTGCACTCCATCTCAATCTCGACATCTTCGTGCAGCTATTGCTAGAGTTCTATGGGGCATAGGGAGACTCCAAACCATTACCTGGAAAAGAGATGACTCGAATAAAACACCAAGGATCTCTGAGAGTATAGCTGACTGGCATCTGAACAGTATCAATGCCGTCGATCATGTTGAAGAATTCTATTCCAGGGTGGCACTGGTCTCAACACGCAGCATGGGAGTCTTTGTGTCCAAGATTGGACAGCGTCTTGAGCGGTGATTGTTGGATGATCGGAGATGGCAGTCATTCAATTTGTCGGAGTTTTCGCAATGTCAACGGCTTATTGAGTGTAGCCGCTGCCGCATGAGCTGATATTGCCACATTTGCGAGAGCCGTCCAGCAATGGCGCGCGATCGACTCGTATCATTAGTCCAACACAGACAAAAGTCGCACCTCTTGGACTGCAGCCTTGGTGAGCTCGAGCTCGAAGCCCAAGTACTACATCGGAATTGAATCGGACGAGCCTTCGTAACACGACAGCCAACAGACAACAGACGTAGCGGATGGTCCGTTGGGCGGCAAAATCCG